CGTCAACCATTTATAGCACCTAGCGCCATCTTTTGCAAACGGACCGAATTAAGTTGTACACCCAATACCTTATTGCTACCGCCAGTTACCCTTTAAGATTTGGGACATCTCCACCAGCTTTCTGAAACAACCCACTAAAATATTATCTAAGCTCCTTTTTTGTTTGGAATGATTACGAATTGTTTTGATTTATCACTGTATCAAGCGTATTGTCCAATTTCAGTATCATGCGGAAACAATCGCAAATGTTCGGGAAGCATGCGAATTATTCAATGAAGTTCGTCAGATTGGTATTGCTCTCGATACCAAAGGACCTGAAATCCGTACCGGTCTTTTAGCAGGAGGAGCTAGCGCTGAGGTAGAGGGCTTTGTCTTTCTCATCGAATTTTTAATTTTCAAAAATTATACGTTTTTTGTTTAGATTGAACTGGTAAAAGGTGGCTCAATCCGTCTCACAACTGACAACAAATTCAAAGAATCGGGAACAGCAGTCAATCTCTTTGTGGACTACAAAAACATACCCAAAGTGGGTTAAGAGAGTTACTTTAGTGCATGAACCATTAAATTTGTACATTTAAGGTAGTCAATGTAGGATCGCATGTTTACGTCGATGACGGTCTCATCTCTCTCATTGTTGACGAAATTCATGATGATGCTATTATTTGTACTGTCGAAAATGGTGGCATGCTTGGTAAGCGTTACCGTACCGTAATCTAGTCAAATGTTGCCAACCGTAATTATTTGTTGCCATTTCGCTTAAACTAAGGTGGTATCTACAGAACAATGTATGTTATGGAACAATTTTCTATTTTAGGCAGTTGTAAAGGTGTCAATCTACCCGGAACTATCGTTGATCTCCCCGCCATCTCTGATAAGGATATTCAGGTATCTAGAAGCTTTGATATAGGCTGTTGTTCTTCTATAATCACAAGAGTTGTCTTTTATTCTTTCTCTCGAAATACACCTCTTAACAACAAATTTAAGGATTTGAAATTTGGCGTTGAACAAGGTGTGGATATGATTTTTGCCTCATTTATCCGAAATGCTGATGGAATCCGTACTATCAGAAAGG